AGGCGAGGCTCACCGAGCCATTTAACCCTCCGCCCTTCAATTAACCCCACATGTGTTTATCGGCCAGGTTGGCACAATAAACTAACAACCTCACACCCGCTTTTGCCTTCTTGCCCCATACATGAGTTCTCCTAAAGACCGTTTCAAATATATACACCAAGAGGGCCTGCATTTATTTTCACTAGGAAAGCTGATAGCCCGAGAGTACTCAACCATCCCCAAACTTGAGGCGTTTCCACACAGAGTTGCCTCCTGCGAGTGGATCATCCATAAAGGATGGGGCTAGGAGGGAAGAGGGTGTAGGAAAACAAAGGAAGAGAGCAGACACCGCCGAGTCCCACACGAACCCCATGAAAGCCAACTCCGTCATGTGGTCGCAAGCTGTACCGCCTCCCAGACGGATCCAATCCCATTAAGCTCCCATCACTCCTTCCATAAACTCCAAGAACATGTCACTGGGAAATGATTCGCAGGGCTAGAATAAACGATTCACACCAGGACGTGTGGATATCAACATGCCCAGGAACAGGAAAGCAACCTAGTTTGTCTCTGGGATTTTGATCTTTAAAAAACCAAAAAAAAACCCAGCTAAGTGATGGTGGCAGCTGGGGGAGGGAGGAAAGCATTTGTCTCAAAGCGTTTTGGCAGCCAGTCGTGGGACTGAAGGACACGCAAAAAGGCAGCCTCGTTTTGTGATGCGATTGCAGTGTCTTTGATCAAGGGCAAAGGCACATCCATCTCAATCATTTTAACCGAGATGGGCCCGCGCTCGGCCGTCTGGGGCCGCCCACCGGGGTGAGCCTGCATCAAGCCGGCAGACACATGGCAGTGCTTACAATGTCAAACAAACGAGGCAGCCCTGATTGTCTATACAACCTTTGCGGAACCCCCAGGGCCCCTCTCATTTAGCAATTCAGCCTGGACTAATCTGGAAGTTCCTCTCCCCCGGCAAACAACACCTGGCCCAGCCTGGCCATGTCAAAACAAAAGCGGCGTGTCACGAGGCAGCAAACGCTTCAGACTCGGGAGGGCAGGGGTCAAGCCTTCTCAGAAGCAGCACACCCAGGATGGAACAGGCCTGGAGAAAGAAAGAGAACGCCTCACGGGCTCTGCCCTCCTCCCACCCCCTTTCTTCCTCCCCCTGCCTCTTTCTTCTCAGCCCCACACTAAGCCAAGAGAGAGCTTATTTTCTTTCCCCATTCAGGAAGTCTCAAAAGAGCCGGTTCAAGTGGCTACAAAGATCATCTCCTCTCCTTTGAGGAAATAATAAACTGAGAGAGCTCATCAATTTTCAACAAACCTGCGAAGTTTCAACAAAGGGCTTCCCACCCACCCCTGCCCCGTGTCACAGCATGATGAATACCATTGATATCTCTAAATTGCACATGTGGAAAAGGTCGCATTAGCCAGTGCTGGGTTAGGTACATCTTTACCAAAATCAAAATCAAAAGAAAATGGCATTTTTCTTCCCGTAAGTAGCCCATAAAACAGTGCTGTCGAGTTTATGCCCACCTATAAGAGCTCTCCAGGACGCAGTGGAACTGCCCCCAGAGGGCTTCCCGGGGTAAACTCTTTCTCAAAGCAGACAGTGGCTACCGCTTTTGCCCAGGGAGTTGCTGGTGGGCTCCCACTGACAGCCTTTCAGCTAGCAGCCAGTTGCTTTAACCGCTCCGCCACTAGGCCAACATCCATAGAATCTTGAGATTTGGGCCGCAGGGCCACAGTAGAGATGGGAGCGATGATCATGGTGAGGCTGTTAACACACACAGAGCATTTACATGGAGCAGGCGGTGTTCTTCTAAGTGTTTTGCAGGTTTCAACACATTCCATCCTATTAACTGCTGCCAGGCAAGCTAGCAGTATCTCCCTTTTTCCCATCGGGAAACTGAGAGCCAGGGGAAGGTCGGTGACTTGCTGATGGTAGTGGGGCTGAGATTCAGGCCCAGCCAGTCTGGCTCTGCGACCTGTATGCTGACCACAGCACCACACTGCCTCTCCCAGGCCCCACTTCAGAGCCTCCTTCAACCCTGACACTGGAGAGAGAGGTAGACTTTGGAGGGATTTAGAGGTAGAGGGGTCTAGGCTTGGTTCCTAGCTTTGACACTCGATGGCTTGCTACCATTCCGTCATCCAGAACCGGGGATAGGAACCCCTCCCTCCCAGGCCCATGCTGGCTTTGAAATGAGAACATGCGCGAGAAGGACCTCCCACAAAACCAGCGCCAAGGTTCGTTTAAACCCAGTGGACCTCAGTCCTTGTGGCCCATTGGAATCAGCTGGGAAGCCTTTAACAACATGGACGCCCAATCTCACCGCATCATCCTTCCACGTTTCTGCCCCAAGGGGCAAGCAGGAGGAAATCAGCCACCTCCTTGGCCCAGCACAGAAGTGAAACCTGAGACCCCGGACACCAAAGCCAGCCTCTATCCTTAACTCCAAACCCACCCTCGCTGCCACCGAGTCCATGCCATGGGGCAGGGAAGGACTGCCCCTGGCTCCTGACCCTGAATTCTCTATGGAGGTAGAAAGGCCGCACGGAGCAGCTGGTGGTTTCAAATTGATGATCTTGAGGATCGCAGCCCAACAAGGTAACACTCAGGCCATCAGGGAGCTTCAGATGCCCGAAGCTTGACCTCTAGCTCCAGAATAGCGGGATTCCCCAAATGCCACTTTATCCACCCACAGAGGGAGTCATTGCTACCAGGACCAGCCCCAGCCCCTTGGCTAAGCTCATTCTAATCTAGTGGCCTTCCCCGGATGCACCAAGAGAGAGTCTTGATCCAGCCAGCACTGAGTGCTGACTCCCAGAATGCCTGCCGCCTCCCGAGCTACACCCCATCTCTTGCCACAGGCTGCGGATGAAGGGGGAAATAACCCAACCACGACGGTAAGTGGCACCTTACGGGCTCAGACGTAAGAGAGATTGTGAGGCTGTCTCGTAGGGTTGCTGTGAGTCAGCACCGTCGGGAACGCTTAACAACAGGTAGCACCCTATTGTTCCATCACCGCCTGTGTGCGAGAGACCACCTGCCCAGCAGCAACGTCATCAGCCGTATTTCAGGCAACGCACTGACCAACCAGACGGCCATGAAGGGAGAAAGATGCGCTGAGTGAGAAGAAATGTTAGCATCTGAGAGCACGTAAATACACGTTTGCGCACATGCACCCATGCATGCGTACATGGGCACGCAAGCACAGACATGCATGGGTGCATGTGCAATCCGTGTGTACGCAAGGCACAGGCATGTAACACACACTCCGAGAATCCTGGTAAAGCTGTCCTCACAGACAGCACAACTTGATTGAGGACTAGCCGCAGGAAGGAGGAAGTCCACAGGGGGCAGCAATAAACAAAGAGAAGAAAGGGGTTGCCCCTGGGAACTGGCAGAGACCAGAAAAACAATCACCCCCATTTGACAGAGGAGAAAAACTCAGGGCTGGCCCTCGGAGGAGACAGCCAGCTGGGAGGTGGGGGGCAGGCCATTCCAGTTCCCTGGCTCTGCCAGCCACTGCCAGTTGGCATGGAATGGCGCAGAGGGCTGGGGGAGAGCGAGGGAGGGAAGGCACAGAGGGGAGCTGAGGGGCCCTTGGCTCTCGGCTGTCTCCCCAGAAAGTAAAGCAGCCCTCAGGCTGAGACACATCCCGTCTGCCTCAGTCCCCTAAGCGGCCCGCCCGGCCTCACCTGCGTAAAGGAGCCGTCCTCTCCGCACTCCGGCACAAACACAGCCTCCTGGGGCCGCTTGGCTTGCTCCAAGGCTTGAGCGCGCTCCAGGACACACTTGCTCTGGCCAGCATCTGAAAGGGGACAGGGGCAATTTCCATATTTCAATCGGCGTCTACGCTGAACCGTGAGACACAACGGCTGCCCGGCTCCAGGAACACGGAGAGATACCTCTTTAGCTGGGTGAGGCCATGTGCAAGCCAACTCTACAAGGGCTGGTGCCTGGCACTCAGCTCCACATCCCTTTGCATGTGCGCCTTAGAAAGATGTGTGCACTGTGCGTGCGTGTGCACTTCCTATTGGTACGCGTGGGCTGTGCCCATTTTCCCACCAAGCCCTCCCGTCCCCAACCAAAGGAGCAAAGGAAAAGCCCACTTGTTATTTTGTACTGGGTTGATTTGGTTCAAAACAAACAAAAACCTAGAGTGCCCATGGACCCCAAAGGTGTGTTCTAATCCAGTCATTGCAAGCATTTTCTCTGAAAAGTCAAATGCTCTAGGGCAATTGGCTTGGCTTTCCACAATTCTTGTGACGATGCCACGCAGCCCAGGGCCACACGTGCATGTCTGGGAGCTCTGAAAGGACACACAGAAGTGACTGGTGTGGGAAGCGTGACACTGCAGGCTGAGAGACCGTATGGCATGCTGGGGACAACGACCAACCGAGGAAGACGTGTCCTGCTGAAGGGTGTTGCTGCCACCTCGTTCCAGCCACCTGCTGCCTTTCAGAAACCCAGGGGGTCCCAAGTTGTTAAGAGAAGCATAGGGTGGGGGAAGGGGACCCAGAATTTTACATTTAATCTCCCAATTCTAAGTGTTGCCTCAAATATTTTCTAATGTTTTGAGACATATGAACAGACCCAACACACGCATCTGTTGGTTAACAATTTGAGCTCACTATTCAGGAGCCCGCAACGGCACCCAAGAGTCACAGCCCAAGGGCAGCTCGTGTTTCCAAATATACCACCGTGGCTCAGAGCGATCATGCCTCAGGCAGACCCATTTTCTTCCCTCACAGAAGAGCAAGCCAAATGGGCAGGCCCGTCCACGGGCAACGTCAGAGCAGGGATCCGAGATCCCCATGGGCAACGTCAGAGCAGGAATCTGGGCCCCGGGGCCTCTCCTGGGTGGGGTGGAAGTGCCTCCACTCACCTTTGCATCGACCTCGGTGCACCATGCCCAGGCTGGGGTCCCGGCACTGGGCTCGCTGGTACTCACACATTGACTCATAGGACCGGCCGTCAGAGGCGCAGATGGGTTTGGGTTGACTCCGGGAGCAGTGGAGGTTGCACTGAGGGTCACGGTCACTTATAAGGAACTGGGTTGGAAAAAAGGTGAAAGGGATCAAGGTTACTTGAGTGAGAAAGGTGAAGGCAGGTCATGGGCCAGGCATTGCTGGTTTGCGGCCAGCAAGCAAGTCCTGAAGCAACCTGAATGGGTAAGACTCTGGGGGTGGAGTCTAAGCAAGGGAGGCCACCTCTCCACCCCAGAAGAGCAATACCGGTGTCTGACATTTGAAAAAGCCTGTTTAGGCACAATGCAAAGCCATTCACATGCCAGTCTCACCTGCGCGCCCAACAACCTGTGACATAGAAAGTGCTTTACAGATAAGGAAAGATATGTGTTTTATAGAGAAGGAAAGGGAAATGTCAGTTTGAGAAAAGTGTGTGTGTGTGTGTGTGTGTGTGTGTGTGTGTGTGTGTGTGTGTGAGGGAGAGAGAGAGAGAGAGAGAGAGAGAGAGAGAAAGAAAGAGAGAGAGAGAGAGATCAAGGAAAGGTAGCTTAATGGTACACAGCTAGTAAGTAGCAGAGGCTGAGTTTTAGTAAGTAGTAGAGGCTGGGCTTAACCTTAGATCTGTTGGAAGGATTAAGAGGCAAATCTTTAGCCCCGCCCCCCCCCCTTTTTTTTTCAGGAGACCACTATTTGGTCAGTTCTCCAGATTAGGGACTCACCATCAATATTAAATTCCATTTGGGGGAAGGCTCATTTATTTGAACGTAATATTGCACCCAAATCAATCCCCTTGCAATTCCCTCACACTGCTTTCTGACGGGATACAAGTGATGTGATTTTCTGCGTGGAAAGGGTCGGATGATTGAAACAAAGCAAAACTCATGATCACCAGCTTGGGAAATGTCGGGCTACCCGGGATTCTTACGTTCAGGACATCTCAGACACCTTTGATATGTTCTCAGAGCCTATGAATCGACCAGGGTATTGAAAAGTATTGGCAACTGCTCTTGTTGAGCAGAGAAATCCAATTCCCTCCTCTTGAATCCAGACGAGACTTAGTAACGAGACCCACCTCGTGTGGGTCAAGTGACATGCTGGGACTTCCGATACCCGTCCTATGGAGCCTTGTAGCCACCTCCCGCACCATTCAACCACGTAAAATCTCAACAACCCGGAGACCACCATGCTATGCCGACGCCAAGGTAGCCGTCGGACTGATGCCACTCCCTGGCTCTCGTTAGGATCAACTCGGCCCTCTCTTCATATTCCTGGGCTCCCACACGCAACAGCCCAAAGGAAATAAGCTTAAAATAAGCTCCTGAGGGAAGTGTTTGGGATAAAAATAAATAATACACAGAGTCACACCAAAAGCTGCTGCTAGCGGGCCACACGGCAGAGATGGCTGGACTGAGGGGTCCTGGCCCCCCGCTCTCCTGCTCCAGACCACCCTCAGTCCTGAGGTAAAGACTCTAGGGCAGTGGCTCTCCACCTTCCTCATGCCGTGACCCTTGAATACAGTTCCTCATGTGGGTGACCCCCAACCATAAAATTATTTTCGTTGCTACTTCATCACTGTTATTTTGCTACTGTGATGAATCGGGTGACCCCTGTGAGAGGGTCATTTGATCCCCAAAGGGTCGAGCCCTACAGGTTGAGAACCGCTGCTCTATAGGATCCCCTAGGACTAACAGACTGTGACCCCAAGCCCCTATCTGGCCTCGCCCCTCCTACCCCGTTTTCCCCCTTGCTTGCTGTTGACCAAGCCCACTGGCCTGTTCCCTTTTCTCGTGAGCTGATTTCTTCCTACCTCAGGCTTCTGGACACGTCGCTCTCCTCCCTTCCCGCCAACCTGGACTTCCTTGTTCAGCTCACAACATGGCTTCTGGCCGGCCTTCCCAGCCTCTCCCCAATGAGGGCGGATATCCCCTCACAGCCCACTTACCCTTCTGGGCTCTTAGCACGTTTCTGCAGGGATGAGCAGATTTGTTGGATTTGAGTAGTAAAGGAATCCCCATCCCTAAGACAAGGATAATGTCGATTTCCAGGCACGCATGCCCAGCATCTATCGGCGTTCTCTATTGTTTGCTGGGTGAATGTATCCCTGTAGTGGCATTTTCCACACAGCATCACCTCAAAACCAGCGGGTGTGGCATGAAGGCCTGCCCCAGGCTCCTGCCACTCCAGGGGGTTCAATGGGGCCGCTCTTCCTATGCTTTGACCTTTCCCCTCCTCCAGTATGTCCTCCCCGCTGCCGTCTACACTGACATGGGCAGAGGTGGTCCACACTTCTTGTCCAACTCCACCTTGGATTTGAAGTTCCTCGGAAGCTGAGGGGTGGGCTTCTCCCATTTGGTGACTATAGCTCTCCCATGACTCTCTCTATGCACCAGAGAAGATTTGAAAACCAAATGCTGAGCTGAATACGGGAGGCTTGAGAAGCCCAGACCCCAGGCTCCTGGATGGAACAGGATTCGGGTTGTTGATTCCAAAGCTGGCCTCAGAGTCTCTCTTCCGGCCTCTGTATGACCCCACAGACTTCTGGTTCCTCTGCAGCCTGGGCATGCAGCCCAAGGCCAGCTGGAGCTGCGATCCTGTGGGTGAGCAGCAGCTGCCTGGCCAATGGGCAGCACTGGTGCCCTTGCACCCTGTACCCTGGCTCCCAGGCCAACCAGTGGCCTCTGGGCTATCCAAGAACAAGTTAAGCAATGGCTATGATCACACTGTCCTTGTCCAAGGCCATGGCCATCTTTGCTACCTGCCTGAAGTAAGACATTTTAACATCTACTTTAACAATCGGCTCTTTGGCCAACAGGAGTCCCAAAGCAGCATGCCCCATAATTCTCCTAATCAGACAATGACAGAAGCATCTGTACCTTTGAACTCCCCAGGAAAACCAAAGAACTTGTCCCGAGTCTCAGAGGGATGCTGAAGCGTCATAATAGAGCTCTATAGTGTCACCGTGAGTCAGAATCAACTCGATGGCAGTAAGAATCCTTCTGTAAGGAGCTCTGGTGTAGCACAATGGTTCAGCACTTAGGCCCACCCTGATGCTGCATGGGAGGAAGTCAGGAGATTCACTTCCGTCAAGATTACAGCCAAGAAAACCATAACGGGGCCATTCTGTTCTGGCACACTGGGTCTCCTGAATTGGAACCTGCTTGATGGTAGCCAATAAGAGGAACACAACAGTGATTTTGTAGAGTAATAATAGGGGACCGTGCCTTGATTCCAACTTCTAGCCCCCCAATAGGATAGAGCGGCACTGCCACCCCCCCCACCCCCACTCCCCAGGGTGACCCAGGCATCGCAGTTACAGGATAGACTACAGCATCTTTCTGCTGTGGAGCAGCAACGGGTCTCAAACCACTGACCTTGTGGTTAGAAGCTGAGCTTTCAACCACCAGGGATAGCTGATCATTTGATACCATTTATAATACTGTAGGAGCTCTGGTGGTAAATGTTAGACTGCTAGCTGCAAGGTCAGAGGTTCAAACCCACCAGCCGTTCTGCAGGAGAAAGTTGAAACTCTCTGTTCCCATAAAGAGTTACAGCCTCAGAAACCCTACAGAGGGCTCCTACGAGGCAAGCTTGGTTTGTTCGTTTTATTTTTGTTTGTTTGTTTGACAATATATGAACGAATTGAATCTTCACAGTAAGTCAATGAGGCGGGCTACATGGCCATTCTCCTTTCACAAATGAGGAAGGTAAAGCACAGAGAAGTCAGGCAAAGCTCCCTTAGATTAAATGGCATGTCAGTGTTAGATACCCACTGAGCGCCATTCCGCCCTGCCTTTCACCATCACAGAAGAACAGGAAGACCAAACCAGCCGCAAATGGATTCACAAAGTCAAAAACTCTTGGTAGAGTTCCAAACCCAGCCACTGCCAAGTCGACTCCTGCTCAAGGCAACTCGTGTGTATCAGAGTTGAAACGACTCCATTGAGTCTCCTTCTCCTTCTCCTACTCCTACTCCTCTCCCTCTTCCGTCTTCTCCCACTTCTTCTCTTCTCCTCTTCTTTCTTTTGCAAAGAAAACGGTGCTTAACAAAATACCATAATATGAAGCCCTCGCTTCGCAAGACGTCATACAAACACGCGTACATGTTTCTACAAGAAGTACGTCCATCTCTCTCTAACCCTCCCCCGAGGAGTCTGCGCCCCTGGATTCGCACCATGTCAAAAAGGCAGCTTGGCTATCTTGGAGAGACTCAGATTCCTCTGGGTGCTCTTTGCAATGTCCTTTGCGTTTGGGAAACCGTTACAGGGGGTGACCGTCTCATCTCTAGTCCTCCCTCTGAGCAGCGGGAGGGTTTGAACCACTGATCTTGTGGATAAGCAGCTCAACGGGTAGCCTACTGCACCACCACCACCATCCCATTCTAGGTTGGAAGGTGCTCAAATGCACATTGGTTATAAGAATGGACTGGCATATGTGGATGATTGGGAAGATAGAACAGGATCATTTCATTCTACTGTAGCTGCAGTCCCTAGGAGTCACAGGAAATTAATAACCCTTGCAATTCATTTTAACTTAAATAGCTCATGTTAAAAAAATGAAATAAAATAAATAGCCTAGGTAGCTAGTGACTCCCTTGTTCAATAGCACAGCTAGCTACAGAATCAATGTACCCAGGGATCAAGGAGAAAAGGTCGTGTTCAGTTGATGTTTTTCCTAGCTGAGCCACGCCAAGACTGATGAAACCAATAGGTGAAGGGAGACAGCCAATCCTGAGACTAATTCCAGCCCTTGACACAACGTTCTAAATCTGTTCTTTACTATGGAGCAGGTGGCCAGGCTGTCCCAGGAGTTCCCTGTAGTCAGGAAGGCAGCATTTTCGCTATTCTTGCATGGGTCAGAAGGCATGGGCTACAAGTCCCCAGCCCCAGCCTGTGTCAATTCATGCAGCACTCAGACAAAACCCAGAGCCTGCATCTCCTGCTGGGACGTGAACCCCGGGTCACAGAAGTCTGCTGTGACCGCAAGAGTCCCCACAGTTGGAAATTTTGGATGTTGGGCAAAGGCACCCTGCCTCTCCATCTACCCACCCAAACACTCTAGGGCAAGGAACAGTCTTATTATAAAAG